ATCCGCTTCCACCAGCGCTGGATGGTCAGCGCCCCGAGGGCGGCGAACAGCAGCGACCGGCGCACCAGGACGCCCCGCCACCAGGCCTGGATCTTCACCACTTCCGGGTCGCGAGGGGGGGGCCTGCTTTTGTGTTTTAAGATCTTGCAAGGAAAAAAGAAGAGGCCGTTCAGAGCGTGCCCCCCCCTTCAGAGCTGGGGGTTTGCCACGAAGGGACCCGGACTCCCCCTCAGTAATCACCCCTCCTCCCGGCCTCAGAAACACTGGGCAGGGCCCGGACTGGACCCAGAGGCCACGCCGGTGTCCCGTCTCTGTCCCTCCCTGGCTGACGGACATGGACACACTGACCGCTGAGCCTCCCCATCCATAAAATGGGATCACAGCGGCCCTGGCGGCCAGTTTCATGTGACTCTAGGAGGCCAGCCAGGGGCAAGAGCACCATGAGCTGCCAGTCAAAGGGTGACCGTGTTTACCTGCCCAGGATCCATGACCCCCTCCCCCAGGCCCCACCCACTTTCTGGAGAAGGGGCATCTTTTGCTAATTCTGCCCTTTCATCTTTCACCCCAACTCCAGTTCACAGCATGCTCTTCCCCTGCATGCCACAGTATTGTTTCCTCCGGCCCTGGCTGGTGGCCCTCAGTGGTTAGAGCGTTGGCTTCTGCACCAAAGGGTCACAGGTTCGATTCCCGGTCAAGGGCACATACCTGGGTTGGGGATTTGCTCCCTACCCCGTTCAGGGCAGGTGCTAGAAGCAAACAATGATATCTATCTCTCTCTCTCTTCCTCCCCCCTCCCCCCTCCTGTCCTCCCTTGCACACTCTCCGAAAAGCAATGGGAAAAGTATCCTCAGCTGAAGATTAACCAAATGAAAGTTTCCTCCACACCAGGCGACAGCCGCGAGTTTGACATGCTTGCAGCTCCACCGCCCATCTCTCCCCCATCCTCACGTCCCCACTTCAATCTTAACGAACAGGCAAACATACATGCACAAGCTCGCAGCCCTTCCCGAGGCCCCTTCTCCTGTGCGGGCCACTCCATTCCGCAGACCTAGCCCCGCCCCCCAGCTGTGTCTGGGGGTCATACTTTTCTGGGTCCTTCATTAGCATTATCCACTTTCTTTGCCTCAACTGTATTCGCATTGCTCGCCTGGAAAAGAAATGGGGGAGTTGGTTCCTGTCCTTAGCTCTGGGCTGCGCAGAAGACACCAGCCACCGGCCCTAGGAGACAGGCCGGACCGGTCAGGGCCCCTACCTCCGCCTTCGCCTCTAGGGCCCGCGGAGCTGGGGGCGAGCCCGTTGGCTCCCCCTGCGGCTGAGGCTCCTCTTCGGGGCGCTCGTCAGTGTTCTCAGGCTGGTCCATCTCCTGCTAGCAGCAGTTGGGGGGAAGGAGAGATTCTCCCTTCAGTATCCCACAATCCTCAGCTTCCGGGGCTCCCAGTGTATTCAGGTGTCAGGGCGCCCCCTCATCCTGTGGGGACACCCCTAAAAAGCCTGCATCTGTCTCTTACCATTGGTCCCACATGGGGTGTAGATGGTTCAAATCCCCTCAGGTCTGTTACTCTAGCCACG